AAACAGAGGCTTAGGTCACCCAGAGCATAGGGTTGCATCCCTGATGGTCTTGGCTAATAGCCACTGATGGACCTGTCCTCCAGGAACTGATCTAATTCTTTTTTGAACCCAGTTATACTTTTGGCCTTCACAACAGTCTCTGGCAAGGAGTTCCACACGCTGACTGTGCGTTGGGCGAAGAAATACTTCCTTGTGTTTGTTCTTAAACCTGCTGCCTGTTCATTTCATTGGGTGACCCTCTGGTTCTTGTGTTATGAGGAGGAGTAAAGAACACTTGCTTAGTCACTTTCTCCACACCCGTCATGATTTTATAGACCTCTGTCCTACCCTCCCCTTAGTCGTCTCTCTTTTTAAGATGAACAGTCCCAGTCTTTTGAATCTCTCCTCACTGGAAGCTGCTCCATCCCCATATCACTTTTGTTGCCCTTCTCTGTACCCTTTCCAATTCTAATATATCATTTTTGAGATGGGGCAACCAGATCTGCAGGCAGCATTCAAGGTGTGGGCGTACCATGGATTTATATAGTGCATTACGATATTGTCTCATTGCTTCCTAATATCTCCCCCTCTCTCTGCATCCAGCTGTTGTCTCTTATCTTGTACTTAGATTGTAATCTCTTTAGGGCAGGAACTGTCGTTTTCTTCCATGTTTGTACAGGGCCAGACACAAAGGCACATTGGGCCATGATTGGTGGCCTAGGTGCTACAGTAATACAAATAGTTAATAGTTTTAATAACTCCCTTCTCCTGTCCAGGCTAAATGAAGTACCTGAACTCGGACTGTATCTGGCATAGGCCCCATGTTAGACTCTAACTCTTTCTCCAGGTCTGTGCTTATGATGATCAAAAGAACTTGAGCTAGTCTAAATGACAGTGGCTACAATCCAGATAGATTAACCAGCCTTAAGGGCTTTGGGACAGTGGCATATGCTCCTGCAATATTGCACTTTTCAATTTTCCTACAATTAGGCTTGCATCAAATAGTATTGACACATAAACCACACAGTCAAAATCATCGAGCTTTTCACGCTGTTGCAGAAAGGTTCTAGTTACACAGTCGCCAACTGCATCCAAGTTTGCATCGCGGCTGGAGCACTGACCCAGAGCTTGGGACACGAGGGATCTAGGGCCTGATATGGTCGTGACCCCATTGTATTACGCCCTCATTCAGAATGACTGTTGTTTAGATAATGCTGTAAGTGTACACCGTGCTATACAGAGCTAGGAAAATACCCAGTTCCTATTACAGTCCAATACTTAAGCTGCTGAGTCTTTGTCACTGACAAAGATTCACAGGAGCGGGTTTAAGCAGTGCTTGCCAGGATTGAGCTCCAGCCCCTCCATGCTTGGTAGTTCATAGCTCTGGCACCTCTGGGCTCCCAGCCAGCAGCCACGGCTCTCCAGCCACCCAGCTCTGAAGGCAGCACTGCCACACCAGTGCAGAAGGGTAGCAATACACCATACCATGCCACCCTTACTTCTACACTCCAGCAGCTCTTTTGTTACAAATGAAGCACTGGTTTTAAGAAGGGGTTCAAAGAAGAGGGAAGCGATTGGCACACAAGTTGTTTGAGTCTGTTTGGCGCATAAGGGGAGGCATGAAAGAAATCATGAAACTAAGAGTGGGAGAAGGAGGCAAAGGGCGTAGTTAGAAAAGATGATCCGGAGAAGTGATAGGATGAAGTGGCAGCAGAGAGAGATGAGGAGCAAGCAAGCAGAGCAGTGCAGAGTTTTGAGAGCCAGCCAGCGTTGCACTGTGACGTTCGGGACGTTCTTAAAGCTGTCGCTTTTAGGTCTTGTTCAGCCTACTAGATGGACCTGTGATCAGCTGACAAGATGGTAAACGCCACTTGTCCCTGTCTACACCAGGGCCAGCTCCAGGCACCAGCGTAGCAAGCAGGTGCCTGGGGCGGCCAGTGAAGAGGGGGGCGGCACGTCCGGCCATTCGGCGGTAATTCGGCAGCGGGGCCGTCACTCCCTCTCGGAGCGAAGGACCTGCTGCCGAATTGCTGCCGAACGATCGCGGTCTTTTTTTTTTTTTTTTTTT